AATCATCTGGTAAGTTTCAGGATCTTTTGAAAATCCTATTAATATTCTATATAAATTACTAAAAATTCTTCTTCCCGAGGTAAACTTTATGAGTAACAGATCCATCTTAGCATAAAATTTTCTGTAAACTAAATTTATATGATTTAGACTTATGCAACCATATCAAATAATCTTCTAGTGTTTGCATCTCTTTAGTAATCCATTAAAATTTCAAATACTCATTTTTCCTGTTTTATGACCTCGAATTCTCTGTATTTACGCGGTTTTTGCGGAACGCAAAAATGCAATCACAGCTCACCGCTGTGTAAACTCCCGTAATTTTTTGCCGCCAGTCTTATTTTGCAAAAAAAAAAACGCTGGCGTCTTCAAAAAAGTTATAGTTATATCTTACACGACCGAAATAGTATTTTAAAGCACTTATATTGATTATGTATGCATACATAATACACAATACATAAATAATAATACATACATAATACATAAATTATGTATTATTATAAGTGTATACGAGTACATGTATACATGCATAATACATTCAATATTGTGCAATATATCAAAGGCATTTCCAACTCATGTCTTTAAAAAACAAGTAAATTATTCAGCAGATACTGCCTCGGTAGCTCGGTATCAGTTCGTAGTTACTCCGAGTCTTGTTTAGTTTCATTCAAGACAGTTTTGAGGTCTAACTATGCGACGGTCTTTTTATTCTAACGTGAAGTTTCAAGTTGGGACTCTCTTCTCCCTAACTTTGCAGACCACAAAGGCTCGGCAACTAAAAGCCCGGAATTTTTAAGAACGTAAATACTGAAGTCGGACTTTGCAAGAGCCGGTAAAATCGGAGTTTTTTCGGGCATCGTGATACGGAGATTTATGATCCAATTCAGTTAATAGTTTGAAATCGTGAGTTCAACGTGGCGTGAGAAGTTACAATTAAGTTTTAATAGCGTGAATTTTTCGAACAACATATCTGTGAAATTAGAGGCATATGTGCGCGTACCGCATGACATAGAAATCAGATGTAACAGAATATAGAATATTTACTGTAATTTTATTCATTTATTCATTTAAATTTAAGTTTATTAGAAATACAATTGATGGACGTACCGAATATGGGAATATCGAAGTGATCAGCAAGCTGCGTTTGAATAAATAATTTTTCCGCCAAAAAATGACCATGTAGCATGGTTGAGACATTAAAGTTCGAAATTTTGCACGTCTAAATTACATTTATATATTTTACATTGCCAAAATTTATCCACTTAATATTTATCCATCCATTTTCTGTCAAATTGCATGAAATATTGCATGGAAAAATTATTTCCACCAAATTTAAATCGGCATATGTTTAATTAAGATGCTTCAAAGCCAATTACTTGGCCAAGTTGGGTCACGGTGACCCACAAAAGGACAAAAACTGCATCACTATTTGGGCCAAGTCCCATACATTTTTCTGAGTGCAGCAAAGATGCTGTGGACATCGCTGAGAAAGTTTGTGGCGTTTGTACAACATTTTCTTTTCGTACTTAAAAACTTGTTTAATATTTCCTACATAAATTGTGCAACGGATATACAAATGGAATCGTGAGTATGAATCCACAGAAGACGAATAATAATAAATAAATACAAAAATTGAATTTCGATTCCTTAGTTTATTAAAAATCGTCAATGACAAGTGCGACGATTTACGAACTGAATTTAAGTTATTCTTTTTGCTTCAGAGTCAGGTTTTCGTCGTTTTCTGCCATAAAAAGAGCTTTACTAAAAAAATTTCACTGATTTTTACAATAATCAGTACAATTTTATTTGGATAATATTACAGTAAAAAAACGGTCACACAAAAAGTATTATTATAAATTTTGGGGGGTAACAATTATTTTATTATAAAATGGAAGGTATAGATGGACATCATCACAAAGTGCTTTCTTCCGACGACATCAACATCATGGCGTTCATGAGGAGAGTTTTGTCTCCATCATCTTCTTCCTTCCTTGAATTTTCAATGAAGATATCAGAATTTTGTTCAATTTCACCAATTTTTTTTAGACCCTTAGTAAATTTCAAACTTTCCTCATATTTTTTTTCTTCTTTTGGCACTGCAATCATATACCTACCATCGATTAGCTCCAATTTATTCTTAAATTTAAACGCCTCTCTTTGCATTGCAAATTTCTGCATCATATTCAAGTCACTAGTTTCTTTATCTTCAGGTTTGCATTCATATTTTTCTTGTTTGCAGGATTTTCCCAAAATCAAAGTCGGTAATTTTTCTCGGTCCCCTGAGCTACGCGACTGAAGGTCTTCGAATAAATGCACAACTCTGTCTTTATTTTTAATCTCATCTAATAAGCCTTCTTTTTTAGAAGGTAAATGAGTTTTTACAGCTGTAGTTTTCTGATCAGTTCCATGCTTAGTGAGCGCCACATGCCGCTCCGCAAGGCTGGCCGTCTCGTGGAACATTTGAGTTGGCGCCTCCTGGTTAAGAGCAAAATTTAAAAAATTAACGCGATATTAAGAAAATACTTCTTTGCGTTTAAAGAAAATAAAATACGCGCGAAATAACAAAGAATTAGCGAAATTTTCAATAAATTATACTCCTTTTGCGGACAGCGCACTTGTGTAGTGGACTTCTAATTCTACCCACGCTTTTGATCACGCAAACTAAAGTAAACATGGCTTGGAATAAGCATGAAAATATGAATATGCATGAATTTTTCATGAAATATTCGTATATAATGTAAAATTTACATAAAATATTTACATTGAACCCTATTTGAAAGAGAAATTACTTTTGGAAATATAAATTCTGAAGAAATCATTTGCTTGGACAGTGAGATTTTATTTTATGCTTCACCAACGTAATAAATTGATAAGCGGTGCGTTAGAAACGCTTTAATTTGTATCAGAATAAAAAGTTTGTACCATAAAAAAACTTACGTGAATGCCAGCGGCTGCGGCAACTGGATCTGCATCATCAGCTGCAAAATGAGGGCATGAAATACAATTAAAAGAAAATGAATCCAATTTTTGTCGACGGAATCAATGAATTATTATAGATGTAATGGGTACGTTAGATTTTCTGAGATTGCTTGTTGTGAACAATAATTGTAATTGTTAGATAGTTCTGATTACCGGCATGGACAATTAGACATGATACATAAGAAATTATTTCATGAATGACATTGAAACTGTTAAATTAATGACAAAATAAGAATCGCTTAACATATGATAACGAACTTACAAGCTTGTTAAATAATATTTAATGAGTTATATCAAAAGGTGGAAGCATTTAAAGAAATATTGCGATACACGACACCGTGTGCAACGCCTTGACCAAAATTCGGGCATTAAAATAGCTGGCGACGTGAAATTTCGTCATATAGTTTAGGGAACGACGTTTCAATTAAAATTAAAGGTTTGATTTTTACCAGATTCAGGTAATTTCAGTTAATTAATAATTTAGCGATAGACGACACCGAGGGCCGAGGTGACGCGATGCGACGCCTTCACCAAAATTCGGTCATTAAAAGAGTTGAGGTCGCGAAATTTTGTTAAATAATTTGGGGTTTGACGTTACAATTAAAATTAATGTTGTTTCTAGATTTAGGTAATTTCAATTAAATAATAATTTAGCGATACACGACACCGAGGGCCGCCGTGACGCGATGCCTTGACCAAAATTCGGTCAGTAAAATATTTAACGTCGTGAAACTTGTCATATAATTTATCGGATCGACTTTTCAATTAATTTTAATGGTGTGATCATTTCAAGATTAAGGTAATTTTGATTAAATAATAATTCAGCGATAGACGACACCGAGGGCAGCGGTGAAGCCTTGACCAAAATTTGGTCATTAAAATACTTGACGTCGTGAAATTTTGTCACATAATTTATAAATCGACGTTTCAATTAAAATTAATGTTTTTTCCAGATTCAGGTAATTTCAATTAAATAATAATTTAGCGAAACGCGACACCGAGGGCCGCGGTGAAGCGACGCCTTGACCAAAATTCGGTCATTAAAAGAGTTGACGTCGTGAAATTTTGTCATATAATTTATGGATTGACGTTTAAATTAATTTTAACGGTGTGATTATTTCAGTATTTTTAATTTTAATTAATTGGTAATTTAGCGGTACACGACACCGTGTGCCGCAACAGTGAAACATAATCGGTTATTACAATATTTGACTTCGCGTTGTTTTTTAGATAATTTGGAAATTGGCGTTTTGCTACATATTATAAGCTATGAGGTTTTTTCAATCGTTATCTTCAATGATTACCAATCGTAAAGATTGACAATGCTATGAAATCCAATACCAGAAAGTTTGTAGATGAATTCATTTTTAAGATTTTTTTTTTTCAAAATATTATTGGCTGTATTATTGACATGACTAGTATGAATTTGTGAATTTGTCAATTTGACTCGTTGAATTTGTGTTTTTTCGTGTACACGAGTCGAATTTCTGCACACTAGCTACAAACAATTATTATTCTCTTTTGTTATTGATTTTTATTCGAGATTATGTATGTTATTTTCCATTATTTTGAAATCCCTGCTCCTTTAGAGGCAAGAACTGCTGTAAAATTTGATAATCAATTTTTTCTTACTAATTATTTAATACAACCTATTCAACAATCATTAATTATGAGGTTCGAATTTTTTCAATTTTTCATTTCCACTTCCAGCAAGTTTGCGAAAAATTTTAGGGATGCTTCATGTGCAGGCACATTCTGCACACTCACATTGCTCATTGATGATTTTCAATTAATTTTTAGGCAATTTGGAATGAAAAATAATGTCCTGATACTCTGAACTTTTTTGATGATACATTCAAAAAGCCTCAATAACTGTTGAAAATATTTAGGTATGATTCGAGTTAGAAGGATATTTTACGAAAATTTCACTCGTTTAATTGTAATAAAAAAACAAAGACGATGTGCGACCATTACAATTGTTATGTGTGCCAAACATCAATGATTACGATGATTACAGGACTCACCTCGATGATGCGCAGAATGTCGTTTCCGTCGACCTCTGCAGTAAACCTGCGATGCTATCACAAGGATCGCCACCCCGCCTGACGAAAAAGTCATTCGAAAATTAAATAATGGTTTTTGCATTTGCCTATAAAATGTTTAATTCGGTAATATTTTACTTTACAGTAATTCCGCCCATTAATTCTCTAAGTTAGTTAAATTAGAATTAACTAAGTAAGTTAGTTAATTCTCTCTAAAATAGCACAATGTTATAGTATATATAGCACAGACAGGAAATTATTTATTTATTTATCATATTTTTATTTTAATGCAGGCAGGGAATTCTATATTTATTAAATGTTCATTTCAATTATAATGGAAACTAAAGTGTTAATTTGTCAACAAGGTGCTTGAGTGACAAGCTCATACATATTGAATACATCTTATTTCATTTTATATTAATTAAATATTATTAAATATGATATTAATTCTATTATAAAATCTTTGCCCCGGTGCCGATGATTTACGGCCGACGAGTGCATTAAGAAAAGACAAGATGCCGTTATATGTATTTTCGTAGAGGCATCAGCGATTAGAGAACGAATATATTTCAAACATTAACCGGAAGTGAATGTTTCACTTATGAAGATAAAAAAACAGTGATAAAGTTAGAACGCTAGCACAGATAATTATTCGAAAAAAATTTCCGCATCTTGTTTCGAAGACTTCAAATGCAAAAACCAGGTACTTATATTAAATGGATAAACACAAAAAGAACCTTGAGTCAATTTTCAAATTCCAAAGTATGCCACTCCTCTGCCAAAGTATGCAAGCTAAATGCCAAAATATGCAAGCCAAATGCCAAAATATGCAAGCTAAATGCCAAAATATGCTTATTTCAAGATTTATTTGATTTTAATTAATTAATACTTTTGCGATACACGACACCGTGCGCCGGGTGACGCAATCGGTCATTACGATATTTGACTTTTAGATAACTTGGAGATAGGCATTTTGCTACATATTATACGCTATGATGTTTTTTCCTTCGTTATCTTTAATGATTAACAATCGCAATGATTGACAATGCTATGGAATCTAATACCACAAAGTTTTTGGATGAATTCATTTATAGGACTTTTTCCAAATATGATTGGTTATATTATTGGCATGACTCGTATGAATTTATGAATAGAGATAATTACTTTATATGTTTTTTTTCGTGTACACGAGTATGATTTCAGCACACTGACTACAAAAAATTATTGTAATATTTCGTTATCTAATTTTGTTCAAGATTATGTATGTTATTTTTAATTATTTTGAAAATCCCAACTTATTTAGAGGCAAGAACTTCTGTTAAATATGATAATAAATTTTTTCTTACTAATTATTTAATGCAATATATTCACCAATCATTGGTTATGAGGTTTGAATTTTTCCAATTTTTTTTCAGTTTCAGAACGTTTGTTACAAATTCTAGAGATGCTTCATATGGAGACACATTCTATACACTCACATTGCTCATGGATAATTTCACTTAATTTTTCGTAATTGGAATGAAGAAATTTCCTGATATTTGAAAAAAAATTTATAATACAGTCCAATAAAGCCTCAACATAAGCTTTGAAAATATTGACGTATGATTCATGTTAGAAGGGAATTTCACGAGAAATTTCATTCATTTAATTGTAATTAAAAATCATTGACGATGTGCAACTGTTACAATAATATTGTTCGATAATTACGATGATTACAGGACTTACCTCGATGATGCGCGGAATGTCGTTTCCGTCGGCCTCTGCAGTAAAGCTGGGATGCTATCACGAGTATTGCCAACCCGCCTGACGAAAAAGTTATTCTAAAATTAAAAAAGGCTTTTTGCATTTGCCTAAAAAATGTTTAATTCGGTAATATTTTACTTTACAGTATTTCCGCCCATTGATTGCCTAAGTTGCATCGTGCAAAATGTCGTGTTTTAACACTGGAAAATGCTCGGGAAATAAGCTCATACATATTATTTTATTGACCACATCACATTTAATATTACATCGAATAAATGTGATTAAATTTGATGATTAATTCTATTATAAAATCTATGCCCCGGTGCCGATGATTCACGACCGACGAGTGCATGAAGAAAAGACAAGATGCCGTTATGTTTTCGTAGAGGCATCAGCGACTAGCTAGCGAATATATTTCAAACATCAACTAGACGTGAATGAATCGCTGATGAAAATTAAAAACCGCTATAAAGTTAGAACGCTAGTACAGATAATTATTTATTTTTCGAAAAAATTTTCCACATTTTGTTGCGAAGACTTTGAATGCAAAAACCAGGTACTTATATTAAATGGATAAACACAAAAAGAACCTTGAGTCAATTTTCAAATTCCAAAGTATGCCACTCCTCTGACAAAGTATGCAAGCTAAATGCAAAAGTAGGCGGGCTAAATGCCAAAATATGCGGACTGAATGCTGAAGTATGCAAGCTAGCCAAGGTATGCAAGCTATTTGCCAAAGTATGCAAACACAAATGCCACACCTCCCTTTGTACGTTAGATTCGATTTCAGCACGAAATTTCGTAAATTTACGCACTCATAAAAACCTATTGTCTCGCGATTACAGTGAGGCTGAAGCAGCTCGCTCAGAACTTATCCGCAATCAATATCAATTGCAGTCAATTATGGTCGGGCTATCTATCTTCTGCGGTCGCAACGGGCGATCATTTAAAGTGTTAGAGCTGCTGAATAAAGTTCAATTATTCATATAGGGCCTGAATAGCCTTTTTAGCTTATTGGAAAATTTTAGAAATCGAATTCGGGTATTTTTCGTTCTAGTTGAGTTTCAGAGAAATGAAAAGTATTTCGCGTGCCTGCCTAACAATTGTTTCTTTCAGTAACAATTATGCTATTTCTTGCTGCAGAATATGCAAATTTTTAAAATTATTTATTTGTGCTTCAAAATCATATAAATACTGATATGAATACAATGAAAAAGAGTTGTTATAAAGTGTACAACTTCATTCAGTAGAACCGAAATAAAAAATTCACCCAATCGTCCTAGACGACAAATTTTACTTCCACATAAATGCATTATTTTTTATAAGCAAAAATCAGATAGGCAGGCATTTTAAAAAAATCAGTTGAACTTTTGGGCTAGAGTTTGAGGCCGAATATTAGAATCGACAGAATATAATTGAAGATAATTATATTTCAAATGTCAAATCAGTAATTGAGATTAAGTATGGTTTGAATAATCGGATACGTAATGAGGTTTCAAAATTAACACACTAATTAATTATTTAAATTAAAACGCATAGACTCAGTGTATCAGAGTTCGTGAGCTTAACTTAACTATAGCTAAATGTGAAGTCTTTTCTTCTACATTAACCGTTTTTACATATGCACACACAACTCCAATCACTCAAATCAGAGTAGGTTTTGCTGAATACATCAAAATTAATTGAAATGACAGCTAACCATGATGACAATTCAAGCATTTATTCAAATAAGAAAAGTCATTGGAGATATTCACAATATACATTAGATAAAGTGCAGCTCCTGACTACTCAATAATTTACTGAATATGCACGGCCTCTGTAGCCTAAAATTCACCATCAAGCCCAAACTGACTCATTTGTTCTACATAAGAATACGAGAAGCTCTTGCAGACCATATAAAATTTTTTAGACACAAAAGCGGCTTCTACAGACCTCCTAGGACTTCATTAGAATAAGAGATCACCTAAGACTTCATAAGAATTAGTGCAGCAATTGCAGACCACCTAAGACTTTATAAGAATAAGAGCAGCACCTGCAGACCATCCCAGCAGGTGCAGACCAGTAGCTGCACTGATGGAGGCAGCCGAAGGTGGCGGTGGAGGCTGAGGTCCTGTCTCTTCCACTGCAACAAAACACGATTTTTGAACCAAAAATCAACTAGAAGATAGGTCAACAGCTCATTCAATTGGGCGCAAAAAAAAACAAATATTAATAATAAATGTTCTGTGTTATAGTTATTAACTTCATGCAGATGTAGGCAAAACAATTATTGTGTTTTAAGAAACGTTTAAATGAGAAAATAACCAGTGGAAAAATCTTGCCAGATGTTCGAGGTGGACAACCTAAAACCTATAGAACTGTGATGAACAACTGGTACATTGCTCATGCTAGTCTTATTAGAGCTTAATAGAGCTAAACTTATGTCTTTGGCTGTTAAATATTTGTCATATTACTGCCATTTTACGTGAGATGGACTCATCTAGGATTCGCTTTAACCGTAAGTAGGAGTGCTATATGAGTCGCTTTAAACGTAAGTGGGAGTCGTAGGATTAGCTTCAACCGTAAGTAGGGGTCCTAAGAGTCGCTTTAACCATAAGTAGGAGTCGTAGGAGTCACTTTATTAGTAAGTAGGAGTCGTAGGAGTCGTAGGAGTCGTAGGAGTCGTAGGAGTCGTAGGAGTCGTGGGATTAGCTTTAACCGTAAGTAGGGGTCGTATGAGTAACTTTATTCATAAGTAGGAGTCGTAAGAGTCGCTTTACCCGTAAGTAGGAGTCGTATGAGTCGCTTTATTCGTAAGTAGGAATCATAGGAGTCGCTTTAACCGTAAGTAGCAGTCGTAGGAGTCGCTTTAACCGTAACCACTTAATGTGTCATGAGCAGTTTTAACACCAACCAGCATAAGTAGGTGATGTAGAAGACGTCAGAGCCGATACAAGTATTGGCACAGACGTCGATGGTCCCGTTGAAACGTAGACTTTAATGCTGTACGTCGTTGCAGGATCCAGCTCGTTTACCCTAAAGCTGGGCCAGCTCGAGGTAACGTTGGCCAGAAGCTCCCCAGACTCCAGGTAGACCTGCGTGCCACAGAAGAGAATTATGCAAGTTTGCACTCCCTAACTTGCGTAAGAACTTCTGCTCCCGAATTCAAAGATCTTATATTGCGTGCCGTCAGAATTCAAGACTGGAGTAGTTCGATCAATGTTCCTCCAGGATCGAGAATCGTAAGTTTAAGATTGAGTGTAATTATTATTCAACTCACGAAGGAGTTTCTGCCCCCGTAGTGCGCAGAATTGAGTGGCAAAAAATTTAAACTCGCAAATCTTTCACTGGATCGATGGATTCAAGATCAAGTTTTGTACACCGCGCTCTCGTAAATAAAAGCGTGCATGGTATTTTTTTTAACTTTATATTCTGGACTGAACGGGGCGTAAATGAAAATATTTCATTTCTCTTTTGAACAAAATTCGTATATCGAATCCTTTGAAGAACAGCCCATTTTGGTCTCCAATACTAATGCACGAAGAATTAAATTTCCCTTGGGTTCGCGATTTAAATTATCTTATAACATGACCTAGGTAATGATTTGATTTTAATAATTTCGATGTCGTTGTCATTGTCAAGAAAATAAAAAAATTTTACGATGAATTTAAAATTACACAACGCGAATTTTTTGAATTTAACTGTCATGATTGTCAGTATTTCATACGTTTATGTTTCAACAAGTATTTATTTTAACAATAACAATAAGATATTGTTTTTCTGATTTTTTTTTGCCTGTCGTCAAATTTGAGAATGGAAATTGGAGATGCCCGCGGCTGCAAGCAGAAGGGCGCTCTTGGTCGCAAAGTGTGACTTCGAGTCAAGCTTTTTCGAGGAACAATTTTAGAAATTGCAACTGAATTTGTGAAATCTGTCATTTTAGTTTTGATCTATCACCGATGTGAATTTGCCCACGAATTTTTCTTATTTATCACTTATGCGTGATCCACCACAGCAGTACGTGGTTAAATCAGTTCTGGTAATATTGTGATTATAATGTGCGCATGAATTCAGTGGTGCTTAATGATTGTTGTTAATTGATAGATAAATATATATCTGTTATTTACCAATGTGCATAATGTTCGGTTCCATATTCAGTAGATGACCAAAACAGATTAAGTAGGTTAGTAAAGTGAGTTTATATTTGTACAATCCGTAGACTTTTTGACCTGGACGGAGCTATCCAATAATGAACAATGTAGACTGTTTTTTATCAGTTCAGTATGAACAATCTGGATCCAATTAACGGGTCAAAATTATTGAGCCAGAAGCATTTTCAGGAAGTATTTAAGAGGAAGTATTTTCTTTTAGAAAGTAAACACCATAAATCAGAGAGGTTTGCAAAATCTGAAAAAACCCAGAAGCAAAAATACGACAAGCATAATTGTTTTACCCACGTACCATTTTACCCATTCAGAACTTGGTCGACCAGGACCAGAACCTAATATCTAACCAATACCAACCTCATTTGATTAGATTAATACGTTAGATTATGGTTAGGACTTTTTGCCCACGGGAGTTACGTCAGGATAGCCTACATATTTTACACTTTCTTCCTACATGTTCCGCCACATTGAAGATCTTGAACGAGTAAACCACATTGTACATTTTGAACGAGTAAACCGCATTGTACATTTTGAACGAGTAAGCAACATTGTACATTTTGAACGAGTAATCTACATTGTACATTTTGATCGAGTAAATTACAATTTATATTTTGAACGAGTAAACCACATTGTACATTGTGAACGAGTGAACCACGTTGTACAATTTGAACGAGTAAACCACGTTGTACATTTTGAACGAGTAAACCACATTGTACATTTAGAACGAGTAAACCACATTGTAGATTTTAAACGAGTAAACCACATTGTAGATTTTAAACGAGTAAACCACATTGTACATTTAGAACGAGTCATCTATGTTGTACATTTTGAACAAATAAACCACATTGTACATTTTGAACGAGTAAACCACATTGTTCACTGGCTACCGATTTTTGACCAGGTTCACACTCGTGATTCATTCAAGTGTATCATCATGATCCACTGATTTTTCAGAACATACAAGGCCCAGTATATCAAGTATTACCTCGGCCCGGTAGATGGAGGCGCCGGCCACCGACGTGTCCGGCTTATCGCACGTCACAGATAGCGACGAGGACGTGATGTTGAGCAGCCGGCATGACGAGAGCGGGGGCGGCGCTACTGGGGGGTGCAAACAGAGGCTTTGTGTTAAACAAAAGATTTGTTTGTTGAACAAAGGATTTGTTTGTTAAATAAAGGATATGTTTGTTAAGCAAAGGATTTATTTGTTGAACAAAGGGTTTCTTTGTTAAACAAAGGATTTGTTTGTTTAACAAAGGATTTGTTTGTTAAACAAAGGATTTGTTTATTAAACAAAGGATTTGTTTGTTAAACAAAGGATTTGTTTGTTGGACAATAGATTTGTTTGTTAAACAATAGACTTGTTTATTAAACAAAGGATTTGTTTTTTAAACAATAGATTTGGTTGTTAAACAAAGGATTTGTTTGTTGGACAATAGATTTGTTTGTTAAACAAAAGACTTGTTTATTAAACAAAGGATTTGTTTTTTAAACAATAGATTTGTTTGTTAAACAAAGGATTTGTTGCTAAACAAAGGATTTGCTTGTTGAACAAAGGATTTGTTTGTTAAACAGAGGATTTGTTTGTTAAACAAAAGATTTGTTTGTTACAAAAGACTTGCTTTTTGAACAAAGGAATTGTTTATTAAACGAAAGATTTGTTTTTAAACAAAGGATTTGTTTATTAAACAAAGGATTTGTTTGTTAAACAAAGGATTAGTTGCTAAACAAAGGATTTGCTTGTTGAACAAAGGAATTGTTTGTTAAACGAAAGATTTGTTTTTAAACAAAGGATTTGTTGCTAAACAAAGGATTTGCTTGTTGAACAAAGGATTTGTTTGTTAAACGAAAGATTTGTTGTAAAACAAAGGATTTGTTTGCTAAACAAAAAATTTGTTTGTTAAACAAAGGATTTGTTTGTTGAACAATAGATTTGTTTGTTAAACAAAGGACTTGCTTGTTGAACAATAGATTAGTTTGTTAAACAAAGGATTTGTTTATTAAACAAATGATTTGTTTGTTAAACAAAGGATTTGTTTTTAAACAAAAGACTTGCTTGTTGAACAAAGGAATTGTTTGTTAAACAAAGGATTTGCTTGTTAAACGAAGGAATTGTTTGTTAAACAATGGATTTATTTGTTAAACAAAGGAATTGTTTGTTAAACAAAGGATTTGTTTATTGAACAAAGTATTTGTCTGTTAATTAACCAAACATACATTGCATTTGTTTGTGAAAAGATAAGTAGCAAAATTTATTTATTAAACCAATAAAAGATTTTGTTTGTTAAACAAACTATTGGTTTGTTAACAAACATAATATTTATTTGATAACAAAACAAGGAAAGTATTTGTTAATTTTTTCAAAAAATTATTCTTTTGTTGCTCAAGCAAAAAAGAATTTGTTTCTTAAATTAACATATAAAGGATTTGTTTGTTAAAGAAACAACAATTGATTTGATTGTAGCTCTAGTAATCAGTAAATTTCTTCCTTTTAAACAAGCTGACAAAGAACTCGTTTACTAAACAAACACATAAAGGGACTGTTTACTGGGATTAAATCAAGCGTTGCTTTTACGAGTGTAATATACAACTATGCTTGATATTATAGTGCAACGATAACGTTGTAAACATTCGTCTCCAAATAAGTTCGATGAGTGGAAAATTCAGGAACTGGCATGTCAATAAACAAAGGTTAGTGTTTGTTTCTCATTATCAGATCAATCATTGTTTTTATTTTATATAACCCGTCCTTGTACATTGTGATTCAACGCTGACGTTTTGAACATTCGTATTAAGCTTTTTTCAATAATAGGAAGAATTAAGAACTGGCAAGTAACCATGTAACCAGGATTTCCTTGCTAGCGTTCAATCGAACGTTGCGTTTAAAATACACAAATAGACCTCATTCTTTCAATAAGCGAAAAATTGCCTATAATGCATAAGTGAATTAAAATATTTAAAAAATATAATGATAAATTATCTCGCAACATATTTTATAATATTATTATAAATATGCTTAACTACTTAAATACTTATATGCTTAAATACTTAATCTTATTATAAATATATGCTTAAATATGCTTATATGCTTGCTTAAACTTTAATATCCATATATCAGTGCCTAATAGAAAAAAGTTCTCATGTAACGTGCAGAGGAAAAGTCAAGTCTAGCTTAATTAATAGCTTAATTATTTGTTAATAAGTGCGTTAGTTTATCACAAAAAACTGACGCGCAACTCAAACCAAGGTAAATTAGGACTAAATTGATTTAAAACCGGGAAATGAGGAAAAATGTTTCTACTAGAAACGTAAGTTTAAATTGAACTGAAAGGCAAGAAAAGAGGCACAGAATAAAATGTAACAATCCTATTATAAAAATAGTTATCCATGCACGCATCGAGACTGAAATTTTTCAACCCACGCGGACAATGTAAGATCGCAAGTCAAATTGTAGCTATCGGTCAATGTTCGAATAATGGAAATCACTGGTAGTATTATTTTGACGTATATGGAAATTAGAAGAGGATGAGCAATTTTTTGGTACATCTCATCAATATTCAGTTTCAAAGTGTATAGTATTTTATTATTTTTTCTAAATGGTTTTGCATTAGTATTCGGTTTAATTGTACTTCGTTTACATTAGTTTTTAACATTTTTTGCATATACAGTGGAACACTTTCATTTATTAATATTTATTTTCGTAGCTCCCCGCAAGCTCTCATTACTTTCCTTGCTCTGCCCGAACACTGCCCGCAAACGCTCATTGTGAGGGCGTACGTGAGTTTCGTTTGTATGAGATACTACAATAATTATACAAAATACATCGTATGTTGTCAGTATTGTTTAAGAGGAGTGAGTAAAGCGGATGAAGATGGGCTGGCCATGCAGGATAAAACAACATCACCAGATACAGAAGCATGGAAATAGTGTCAGAGTGGTTTATGTATCTAAGGTCCTTAGGAGTCTCTGACAAAAACATAAAAAAATTATAACAAGTTCCCCTAAAATTTTACAGCAACATGTTCAATACAGCACGCTTCTCACCATTGAAGAAAATACGAACGTTTTTACTCGAACTGAAACTTCTTTCAGAGTCTGACTTTGCAGTATGAATGTGTACTCAAACTTACTTCCAACTTTGATGGTAAACTTGCAGGGCTGCAGCTGATGTCCGATTTCGTTGACCCCGTAGCAGAATAGTTCATTGGTGCCGACCTCGCCTTCAGACCGCGCAGAAACTTCGACTACAGACCATTGGTGACTGCTGCTGGCCTTCACATGTCTTTTTCTCCTAGTTTTGTTCTTATAACTATTGTTGAAGAAATTTATAGGCTTATTTTGCCTGAAAGTAGTATCGTTGTTTAGAAAGTGAGTGAATATTTTCGGTGCTGAAGAATTTTCGCTGTTCTGTACTCTGAAATTTGTCCGGCGTATTTGAAAGGCCATCCTTGCACTGATGTCACTCCTTGAATACAAATTGTAATCATCTATATTCAATTCTCTCTCAACTTTCAGCGTGTGACCAGCGTGTAAGAGTTTTCTACGCAGCGGTGGACTCGAATGTTGCGAGGTCTTGTCGTGAACATCTTTTAATCGTCTCATTCTGAAGCCTTCGCTCGTAAAGTTCCATCTCCAAACGAAGTTCTCTACTGGTGGACTCGCCTCGACTTGACATGTAATGTTGATGGGCTGGTCGTAGATGAAAAAAGTGGCCTGTGAGCTGCGACACTCTGGAGCATCTGCCAACACGGAAAGACGCCTCATTTTTTTTGGGGGGGGGGAAAATATATCCAATTATAAGACACGGAAGAGATATTTCCAAATTATCACAACTCCTCCGTGCGTTAGAATCTCTCTCTTTAACCTCTTTATTCACAAATTAGTTTCAAGGGAATTAAGAGACTCAAATAGAACTAAGTTTATAACTCAGAATTGAGTTTCAGAAGAAAGGGTTCTTGAGAGAATGAAGTAACCAATCACAATAGAATTTCATGAGAACAAGTTCAAGGTAGACTAAGATAACTCAGAAGTAAATTTCAAATTTAAGATTAAAGCACACAGTTTAGTTTCAAGAGAAAAGATCTAAGATCGACAAAAATTATAACTCACAATTGAGTTTTAAGAGGAAAGGTTCAAGATAAACCAAGAATAAAACTCATAATTGAGTTTTAAGGAGACTTGTTTAAAATAGGTTAAGATAACAACTCACAGTTGAGCATCAAGACAAAAGGTTTAAGATAGGCTAAGATAACAACTTACACTTTAGTTGCAAGACAATAGGTTTAAGATAGGCTAAGATAGCAACTCACAGTTGAGTTTCAAGACAATAGGTTTAAGATATGCTGAGATAACAACTCACAGTTGAGCATCAAGACAATAGGTTTAAGATAGACTAAGATAACAACTCACAGTTGAGCATCAAATCAATAGGTTAAAAATATGCTAAGATAACAACTCACAGTTGAGCTTCAAGACAATAGGTTTAAGAAAGGCTAAGATAACAACTCACAGTTGAGCATCAAAACAATAGGTTTAAGACAGACTAAGATAACAACTGGCAGTTGAGCTTCAAGACAATAGGCTTAAGATAGGCTAAGATAACAACTCACTGTTGAGTTTCAACACAATAGGTTTATGATAGGATAAGATAACAACTCACAGTTAAGCTTCAAGATAGTAGATTTAAGATAAGCTAAGATAGCAACTCCCGTATAAGCTTCAAAACAATAGATTTAAGATAAGCTAAGATAACAACTCACAGTTAAGCTTCAAGATAACAGGTTCGCTGTGCGTGGTGCCGACAGAATTAGTGGCTAGACACTTTCTGCAGCACTAAATCCGATCCCGAAAGCACCACTCCAGATTCCGGCGTTTGAAGTTCCCCCTATGGAGACGCGGAGTAAACTTTTAAAAGATAGCTTATGGATTATTTTTTTCAATAAGTGATTGAAAGATTTCATCGTTTGAAGTTCCATATATGGAAGTAAAAGTTTTAGAAATTTGTGCAACGACGCAAAATGGATTGAAAGTTTTAACTGGTGGATTCTTCGTATCCTCAATATAGTTATTCCCAACGAAACTTCTGTCGCAAAAAAGTGCGAATGAGTTTCGATAAAACGTTAAACTTCTTCTCAGAGCAACAAAAACTGTTACTCGCAACAGAAGAAATAAAACGTTGCTGAATCGGACATCTGATTTTCATCGCAGAGTCGAATTTAGTGTTATATCTTTTATATTTTAGCTTAGACTCAACTCACATGAGGTGATATGGAAACATCACAACTGACGCTTTTCAAAGCGTGAATAAGGCGCCTATTAATAACTTCGTTTGTGGCTCTCATGCTGAAAGTTTTTATCGCCATCTTTTCGAATACTAGTTTTGATTTGCCAAAAGTAAGTAAAATACAAATGTCATAAATTAATACACGAATACACAATATTACCATCTCTGAGATGCACATATTCCTTGCATTTGTAAAGTTCGTTATACAACGATTTTATTATAATTTTCTAAAACCTGATGATTTTTAACACTATAATAAACCTCGTCATGTGGAAAATCACGAGCTCAATCTCAAATTAATGCCTGGCAAATACTATAGCATCTACTATATATATCAAATGGACTCGAATTCAAATGTAGAGTCACTATCAGACGTGTGATGCGAGACGAGTGATGCTATACGTGTGATGGTTGAGAAGATGCGTATCTCTATACAGTATATACAGAGCGCGACTATTGACATGAGAAATCAGATTCGAAGCGCACTTCTCTGTACCAGGAAACGGTCAAACAGGGAGGGTGGTTAATTTGTGCATGTTGCGTGCAATAAACCTTTTTTCATTCACCCAGTATAGTTGTGAAAGTGGAAATCAGATTCGAAACGCACTTCTCTGTACCAGGAAAGGGTCAAACAGGGAGGGTGGTTAATTTGTGCATGTTGCGTGCAATAAACCTTTTTTCATTCACCCAGTATAGTTACAAATCTTCTCCCGCGGTCAAGTGGTCAGCGTCGAGTGACCTGCCAAGCTCAGCCCTCACTATTGGACGGTCTGGTGGACATACATGTAAAAAAATAACTCAGTACTCACTGCAGTGAGTGACAGAGAGCGCATTTTCTCGTCGACGAAAACTTGAGGTCACGGACAGATGGACAGACAGACAGGCAGACAGACAGACAGACAGACAGACGAACATGGCGAGCACAATATTGCATTTTTTCCATAAATGAGAAAATGCGCTAAAAATATCTCAATCTCGTTTAGTATAAGGGACTGAAAAAGAAAGCCAAGATAAACTTGAGCATGATATTTTTACGATTAAATAAGAATTTCAAGGTTTGATGTTTATAGTTAATCGCATTTTCTCTCAGCTCGAGCAAAACTCGAGTTTTGCTTGAGCTTTTTTTCAAAATTTGGTTTGAAATGCTTGATGCCATACTCTGTTCATACTCTGATCAGACTCTGATCATACTTTGATCATACTCTGATGAGACTCTGATCATACTTTGATCATACTCTGATCATACTCTGATCAGACTCTTATCATACCCTGATCTGACTATGATAATACTCTGCTCATACTCTGATCATAATATGACTATGATAATACTCTGATGAGATTATGCTCATACTCTAATCAGATTCTGCTCTTCAATATAATACTCTCTTATTGAGCTCCATAGAACGATGCCATTTCAGGAATCTGCACTTCACGGGTTTATTGAAAAAAATAAGTTGAACTTGTTCTATGTTCGCATTAAAAAATAAATTCTTTATCTACGAGTAAACTAACCATCGCTAATATTATTCGCAGTTCAAGGCCTGATGAACAGATATACCTAAAGTAGGCAAAGGTTCATTTTATAAGTAATGCTAAGTTTTATATAGTGTTTACAAAGAGTCGGTGACGTCACACGCCACACTGATGCTCATAAGAAATGGTGAATGGTGAAAGACTCAATATCATAATAATATCAATATCATATCAATATCATATTCACCTCAATATCATATCAAAGAACTCAATATCATAATATGCACCATGCCTTAGGTCACTCTATATTTCTGCTCACATACAACGCTGAACAACGTTATGCTCTGTATTTCTGCTCACATATAACGCTGAGCTGGGTGGTGTTCTGTATATTTTATGGTGTGCACTCTGCATTATACTCTGTCTTTCTTTTCACATAAAACGCTGAGCTGCGTTATGCTCGGTATATTTTATGGCATGGGCTCTGTGTTATACTCTGTATTTCTGCTCACATATAACGCTGAGCAACGTTATACTCTGCATATCTTCTTACATATAACGCTGAACAACGTTATACTCTATATTTCTACTCACATATAACGCTGATCAGCGTTATGCTCTGTTTTTCTACTCACATATAACGCTGAGCTGGGTGGTGTTCTGCAGGAGGTGTTGGTGGTGCAGTTTAGGGTTGGTGGCAGTGCAGGTGATGACGCTGCCATCGTCGCGTGCGGTGACCGTGAGCAGCAGCACAGACGAGGACGTGTACAGTGGCAGCTCAGAGGTGCTGCTAGCCCATGACTCACTCTACCCATCACGAGAAGGTCTTTATATAATTATTGTAAACAATAATAATAATAGAGGTGCATAAATAAAAAACATATAGATTTATTTATGAATAACATACGAAAGTCAGTAAAGATTCAGTCTACCCCAAGCACGAGACGGTATTTATATAGTTATTGTAAATAATAATAACAAATTAAGGCGCATAAAAAAGAAAACATATAAATTTATTTATAAATATCATATGTAAGTCAGTAATGACTCACTCTTCCCCTAGCACGAGAAGGTATTTATAGTTATTGTATATGATAATAATAAACGTAAGTGAATAAAAAAGATATACATAGATTTATTTATTAATATCACATGTAAGGAAGTTAAATATGTCTGTACACCGTTTTTGTAGATGTTGTAATTATAGTTATTGTACATGTATTGTGTTGATAATAACAAAGGTACATGGATGAAAAACATTTAGATTTATTTATAAATATAAGATGAAAGTAAATAAAATATGTACAATTTTTGTATATATTGTTGTAACTCGTAAAAAAGTATTCAGTGATTAATTAACTCTGAATGTCATTAAAAGATACAACAGAATTTGGAATATTCATATTGTAACCCACACAGAAGCAGTAAAAATATAATTTCGTCCAAAAAAATAAGAAGAGTTGATTGGCAACACAGTAAAACATTTAATGATGACAATGAAGAAATTAACGGTACGAATGTTCGACTCAATGTGATATACAATTCCAGGCTTCACATGAAAATTGCCCTTGCTTCAGCTCTTGAGCTTTAGATTTAAACATGGGCTTATAAATACTCTTTACTGTATTCACTGTATTAATGAGTGCTAGGATTCGCATAATATTACTCTGGAACATTGATAATTGATTCAGATAACATTACTCTGGAATGGTGATGATTGATTCACGT